ACCAGATCGGGAACCGCTGCCACCCCAAACTCTATGACGAGGGAGACCCCGCCGAGAAGCTGGAGCTCGTCACGGGTACACCCGGGGTGGGGGTCCCCGCGGGGTGGGGGGGTCCCCACGAGGCGCCTGGCCCCACTCACCTCTCATGTCCTCCCAGGCACCAACGTCTACATCACGCGGGCGCAGCTGATGAACTGCCACGTCAGCGCGGGGACGCGGCACAAAGTCCTCCTCCGGCGGCTCCTGGCGTCCTTCTTCGACCGGTGAGTCGGGCCGGGGTGCCCGGCTTCTCCCCCTGCCCGGTTTTGGGGTCCCGGGGGGGACGACAACGGGACACGACATCCAGGTTCTCACACCGTTTTTCGCCCCCTCGCCAGCAACACCCTGGCCAACAGCTGCGGCACGGGCATCCGCTCGTCCACCAACGACCCCAGCCGGAAGCCGCTGGACAGCCGGGTCCTGCACGCTGTCAAGTGTGAGTGGGGGGGACACGGGACCCCGGGGGACGGGGGACACCCCGGGGCAGAGGCGGGACGCCAGGGAAAGAGGACCAGAGGAACTCTAGAGACGGGGGGAGCCCAGGGTTGGGGGACCCACAGGAATAGGGGGTGGAGACCCTAGAAAGGGGATGCCAGGGGAGACCCCGAGGAGAGAGGGGATGCCAGGGGATAGGGGACAGAGCAGACCCCAGGGCTGGGGGACCGTGAGGACAGGGGGAGCAAGAGGTGATGACGTAACCTTGGGGGTCCCTAAGCAAAACCTCGCTACGAGACACCCGTGGCTCCCCGGGGGTGGTTGGCAGCAGACTGGTGGGGACGCAGGGAGCTGTGTGTGACCCCGTCCCCGTTTCCCCCCCCTGCCCCCAGTTTACTGCCAGAACTTCGCGCCCAACTTCAAGGAGAGCGAGATGAACGCCATTGCCGCCGACATGTGCACCAACGCCCGGCGCGTCGTGCGCAAGAGCTGGATCCCGAAGCTGAAGCTGCTGATGGCCGAGGGCGACTCCTACACCTCCTTCATCAATGACACCGGCAAGCTGGAGCCCGACA